CGCGTCCCTAAAATAAGAAGGGTCGTGTTTAAGGCAGTCATTTTGATAAACGCCTCGTACCTACCCGAGACCCGACAGTCAGTTGGCAGGCGCTCCCCTGGTGAAACGGCAAATTTGAATAACGGCGGAGCGTGAGGGAAGCCGAGTTTCGCGGCATTAATTCAAGACACTCCGTGCACCGTACTTACGGCACGCGATTAAACACAGCCTCGTGTCTCGTGTCTCTCGGTACTAAGTGCAACCGCGCAATATCACATGTTTATACATCTGTCCTATATCCTATTTAAAAATTCATCGTACCTCGACGCAAGTTTCCCCCCGATATTTGGCGAACTGCGAACACGAAGCGACTGTGCTTTACGTCGCGCCATGTACTCGTATACTATAATACACGTCTGCTCGAAACGAATCGCGAGCAGAAAATATGATATGCGAATACGGAATGTATTTGAAAGCGAAAGAATATCGCGTCAGTTTGCCAAGCACGCGTCGATTGATTCGACAATTTCGACTTTATCGCCAGGACGAGCGCGAACGAAACGGGCGGCCAGGAAAAACGCTAACCTAATTCAACTGCTGGAAAATAGAGCTAAGATTACGTTAGCATGTGGTGACAGAGGTGGTGAACAGCAATATCACTGAATTTCTTCGACGGTACCTTTCGACAGTCCTCGACGCTCCCATTTACGAACGTCGTTGAGCCGCAGATTAACCCTAGACAGACTCACTTATTTTTCTCATGCGTGAATGACTCACTGGGGTAATACGTTACCCCAAACTTGTACCGCGTGTATAATATTTCCAGAATGTTCTTAGAAAACTTTATAATAGATAATTTTGTTTGTTGTTTAATAGGGAAGACGATAGTAGTCATCAATTTGCGGTAGTAAAAAAAAAACAGTAAAAAAATTTCGAAAAACAAAACAAAGAACCAAAAATTTGGCTGAAATGATGCAAATTTGAATTTCGCGTGGGGTAACGTATTACCCCAGTGAGTCTGTCTAGGGTTAAAAAAAACTTGTGCTCGTCGCGACGGAAAACGCGCATGAGTAAAGTAACTTCCGAGGTTATTATCGAATGCAGAAGAAAGGTGAGACGGGGAAGTGTCTGGATGAGAGAAGCAATGTATGAGGAATACACTGAGAAAAAAATGTCGTTAATTTGACTAAACTCGTTTAGTTGTAGTGATTTGTTTAATGCAAATATTAATATATTTAAATCAAATATACGTGAGTAATATTAAGAAATTCTGAATTTATTTCAATATAATATTTTTTGAATTAACAAATGTTAGCTTGACAGCCCGTGACCGCTGCATTTAGTTAAATCAAATAATATTTCTTTGAATCAACGATTTTTTTTTCTCAGTGTATATCTGGAGAAATGGTGGGTGAAAACTTGCAAAAATCTACTGTCCATACAACTTCTTGAACACGTGCGACGGATATATAGCTTTTAACCGAAAGTCTTGAAACCTAAACTACATTGTGCCATCTTCTTACTTTCTTGTAGCGAACGAGAACAGAATAAGCGGCATCTTAAAAAATTCCAACTAAGTGGTAGAATAATAATTGTGACAGACGCGTGTTCAATCTAAACATTATTTTTTATTTTGAGCGAATACGATCTTCATTATTTATTTGAGCCCCAACATCTCATAACTCAAAGAAATAAACGACAAGTTTGTTTTTCGTTGATTATTTCTTAGTCTATTTAACTGTTATTTCTTTTTTTTAAGCCATAGTACATTTTTTTGAAAAATATAAGTGACGCAACTTTTTCATCAAAGCGTCATATTAAAAATTAAATTCGATTTGCTTTTATCGGCTTTTTATAATCTTTATATCGTTCATTATAGAGTTAATCGCTGATACACACAGTGCAATATGTAACGCGGCGGCACATGGCCAACAGTATGTTGAATGCTTTACACAGTAGCCCCTAAAATTTGCATTCTCTATTACAATTGATTTTCCCGATATTTCACTGGCACGATTAAATGCGTACGTGCTGCGGTAAAGTAATTTCATATTTAAACGATAAATACCACGGCGGTTTCGGGTGCCGCGGCTAATCCTCGTTCCAAGCGCATTTGTACAAATTAACGCGATAAAGCGGATCATATTATTCAGAGCGGTAAATTTTTTCCCGTTCGAGGAAAAAATTCGCAGCACGGAAGATATCGAGAGATTTACTTAAGGGAAACGTGAAAAAGGCGGAAAATGGAGAATGGTGAACGACGGAGAAAAAGAACATTTGCATTTTGGTTGGCGTGCTCTATCTTCTACGCCCAGTAAACCAGTCAGGTTATTAGGTATTAAGTATTAGGTAACTACGTCCAATTAACCATTCTCGGCCTTCAGATCAATTAGCCGATTCGAGTGTATTGACCAAAGAGAGAGTGTAAACTCGCACATTCACGAAAGATAGGTCGTGCATAAGATTTTTTTGTAGCCGGCGCAATATTTTTCTAACTCTGTGGAAATTACTCGTTAAATGAGCCACGAAATGGCTGTTATGCCGCTGGCATATGCGAATAATTGAACGGGCCGCGAGAACCAACGGCGACTCGTATGTCACTCCGAATATCCGCCGCAAATCAATCGCATGAAAAACGAGAGAATTTTCGTTCCCATCGAAGTCGCGTGAACCGTTGCTATGCTATATATCTCCCAAACTTTTTCGATGAACGATGGTTCCATGTCGGAAATCGCAAAGTGCTCGATGGTACTCGAGATAAACACGAAACTGATGTCTCCCGAGATACCAGTCGAAACTGGCGGTTAACTGGATAGCCGCGGTGACGCGAGAGAGGTCCGATAAGAAGTTGAAAACGGAGCAGCGTACAGAGAATCTCTCAATATTCAGAGGTGTTGCGCATCACGTGCAAAAGGCTATAGATTAATAGTCCGAGTTTAAACAAGTCTTTTTTTGTGGCGTCGCGCACGAAATCCCGGGGAGAATTGTTCCGCCGACAAAACCTCCCACGCGAATCTCATTTGCATAGTTATAGGAATATTTCAGTGGACCATCGCCATCGGGGTCCACCGCCTCGTCAACTCCGAGAAATAACGAACGGTTCGCGAGCTCGTGATCGATCGTCGTGACAATCGCCGACGATTTGTCTCGCATAATTACGCGCCTCGACATTCGACGGTTTGTCTAGGGAGTCAGGTCTCCGCGAGCGGAGATGTCTGACGAAAGAAGGATTTTATTTTCGCGCAGATAAAAATATCCCGCGAAAACAATCTGTCCCGGGAAAAACGCGGTGTCGAGAAACTTCTCGCGCACTTTTATCAGTCCTCCGGGAACGAGAAAAAGTTGCGGAACTACCGCGATCGGAATAATATCCTGATTAGACAAGCGAGAGATCACGTGATATCCGGTACAGTTAGAGTTCTCACACGGAGATGGGGAAGCTTCGCTGCACTGTTTGCGAAAGTTAATAGTATACTTGGGACGACGCAAGATTACCATATAAACCGCAAAACTCTTCATGTTCTCTCGCAGTTCTATCGATCCCGAGCGTTCGCGTCTCCTACGCCCTTTACCCTTTGTCTCTTCCTTCATTTTGCGATAACACATTCGGTTCAGCTGACGTGGGGAGCAAAGCGCTTTGCTTGCGGCACGTGTACTTTAGAGGGTAACCCACCACCTGGTTATCAATTAAGATTGCAATTCCAATAAAACATTTTAGTGAAAAAATAAAATACCTTCGCTTTGGAGTAAACTTCAAAAAAGCATATCGACTACATATCTATTTCCCATGTGTGCAATTTTAGCACGTCGAACCAATATTTTCGCCAAGTTCGCTTTTATCGAAAAATCCCCTTTGACAAACGTGTTCTGCGTGAAATCGAAATTTAGGAAATAAATCGACAAGACGTTTATTAATCTCCCTTCACAATTTTCCCAATTTTTTTCTTCGACCGTCGCAAAAAAGACCGTTTAATAATCCCTTCGCTTAAATACAGAGGTTCGAAGGGAAACTTATTTCAGCAGCGCGCATCCGTCTTGGGGGAACAAACGCCGTTATCGATTGTCTTTCGCGGTGATATCAGTCCGCCCCCCCTTCGCGCAAATAAATTCAATCCACCAAACGGATCGCCTCTGCACTGCGACGACCTTTTTCTTTTTTTTTTTTAATTAATCAGTTTTATTCGGGATACATTTTCGTTTCACGTCTGTCCAAGTAAACGTGGAGGAGAGCGTAAAAAAAGAGACGTCCCACTTTTCGTCCGCTGACGTAAAGAGAAACGATTCGGACCCACCCACCCGCGGCGCCGTATAAAAATTTGATCGCTTTCACGGGACAATCGGGTTTTTCAGTGACACGTACCTCCGTACTGAATTTACCGAGTAAATCCGTCGTGCAGTAAATCACACGGCAGTTGATACGAGCTTGGGTGAACACCGGAGAACAATAATTCTCCGCCTCGCTCTCTCAGCGACTCTTTGCGTCGCGCTTTTTCTTACCGGGGGGCACTTTTCACGCGCGGAATAACCCAATTTTGCCCTATACATACGTCGCGCGACCGATAATTAATTACCTCTCCAAATGTCCTTTTTTGTTTCTGTTTCAGTCACCGAGAAGGAGATTCGTCAATGGTAAGGTTCGGCTCTAAGAACGGCAATGGGTTATTTTACGAACTTTCGCTAACTTGGACAGAATGATTAAGGATACCGCCGACAATCAGAAGAAAATAATTTACGAGAGAACTGATTTAATTTGCCAAATTAAAATAAAAGATTATTCGGACAAGTAAACTTTAAACAATTTTTCCCATAATTTCCAACCATTATAGTAACATTAAAAAATTTTTACGTTAATTTTACTTAAATAAATAATTACTTATACGAGAATTATTATATGTAGGCACAAAGGATTCCTGAAAGATTGCCCTGATGGATTGCTGACAGAACAGGTATGCATTCTCTATATTAACTGTCTCTTTTCTTTTAATTTAGAAAAAAAAACCGTTGTTGTAGTGCAAGTAAAACATAAAGTAAAAAATCAAACTGATATACATAACTGAATGAGATACTCAGGATGGAAAGTACATTAATCATATGTCACGTGGCAACAATAACGCAGAAAAGGGTTAATCACCCCCCACAATAATCAATAGCGAGCAAAAAGCTCGTGATGTACATGGCGCTCGCGTGTGATTTCAGGGCTTCATAAAGATCTACAAGCAGTTCTTCCCCCAGGGTGACCCGTCAAAGTTCGCCTCTCTCGTCTTCAGAGTCTTCGACGAGAACGCCGTGAGTTTCTTGTCACGTGTGTAACGTAAACGTCGTGGTTTTCCGCGCATCCTCATGCTTTTCAAATTCGCGTTCGTCAGCTCGCGTGCAGGAGCGATCACGCGATGTGCTCTCTCGACTATCTTACTCAAATTATTTTCCCTCCCCTTCGCTACACGGCCGCTGCCCCTCGCAACGTCTTTATTTGCCGTTTAACTGCCCGGTTAAGCGTTTATTTAGTCATGACATTAGATAAGAATAGGCTGTTAATTTACATCGCGAGTTGCACGCTGTACAAATTTACGCGCGCGCGCGCCAGGACCGAGATAATCCGTATTGATCATCGCGCATGTTTAATCAGCACTGGCCTCGCTTCCCAAGCAATCGAGCGAGCATTGACATTCGCATCACGCGTCGAGTATATTTATTGAAAATATTGAGAAATATCGGAGACGGAAATTTTCTTCGGATTTCTCTCATGAGACTATTCGATTTGCGAGCCGGGAGAAAATACGAATACCCAGGAGAGGGAAACCTATTTGCACAACGTATCGGCCGACAGTTGCTCGACTTGCAAACCGATAGCTATCCCGCCTTTAAAGAAACGCGATCGCAAAGTGATCCTCGAATATTCCGCGATCGATAGCGGATAGTGTCTCGCGTGCGACAAAATAAGAATATGTCGAATTGTTGTTTCAGGACGGCACGATAGAGTTCGAGGAGTTCATAAGAGCGCTCTCGGTGACGTCGCGCGGTAACCTGGACGAAAAGCTTCACTGTGAGTATTTCGCCTTTTATCTACCTCGAAAAACGTCCCTCGTATTACCTACTCGAATGTGGGAGAGTTCTCTCGTGCGCTACCTTGTTTACCCATCTACTTTAGGTCTACGTTGCGGACAATTGCGCCGGGATCGCGCAGCGAATTTTTGATTTACCTAACGCGATTAAGTCTTTAAATTCAACTTTATTTGAGGAAATAAAAAGTTCGCCGCTGATAACTTTGCATAAAAAAAAATCAGAATTGGTATCAGAGATGCAGCTCAACTTGTAACTGCTTTTACATTTCGATGAAAATAGATAAAAACTGATAAAATTGCATTCAATTAATATTAAAACGAGATAATCGTTATATTTGATTATCGAGCAATAAATTAATATCCAGGTTTCTTCGCAAATTTTATACTTAAGAAGGATTTGCAAATTGCAATCGTTATAGGTACATAAAATTCGAGACGACCTGAAAGACGATAAAGTCCCTCGATTGAGAAAACTGTTATCAATGAAGGATCACGATCCGAACAAAAGTAAAGAATGAAACGTATAGCTGCTTTTCGCCGAGAATGTCGCGATCGGGATATCGTCGGAGAGACAGAACTTACAAGCTCGCGAGAGAATCCTGCGTGAAACGTGAAAGATACTGTTTCTCATCTGAACAAAGCGCACCTTCGGATTTTTGTGTCCTTCCAGAAATTTCAGTAGCAGAAGTCAATCGCATTTTTCTTCCTTTTTCCGTCTCTTTTCAGGGGCCTTCCGTTTGTACGACGTGGATAACGACGGCTTCATCACGAGGGACGAGATGTACAATATTGTCGACGCGATATATCAGATGGTTGTAAGTGCATCCCTTTCAAATTACTTTTCGGCCTGCGAGAAAGCTTTCGAAACGTTTTGTCGTTCGCTTCTCAATTTTGTTGACTCCTACAATGCATCTTCCTATCAATGCCTATCCTGCGATTTTCTCAAAATAACATAACACTATCTCCGCCCTGTTGACGTCATCTGTTACATCTGGTACTGAATTTCACGAAAATCACGAATTTGTTAAGTGTTTCTGTCAAGTGTACCTATGTTGTTCGACAAAATGAGAAAATCGTACGATCTATCATCTTAATATTCCATTACTTATTCGCTTATTCAATATCTATGATTGTTTCGCTTACCCGCTACCTATAAGTGAAGTCACGATAGCACAAGATTCCCGTGCTCGCTTAACAACTTGCTAGCTGCGATGCAATCGTATATAATGCATCGCGCGCAACGTGCTCAATATCAAGTCAATATTTTATCCGAATGGGCTCTTTACATGTAACCTAGCGGAAGTTATAATCCTCTTCTGCAGTTTCCGAACGCGGCAGCATGCTACAAGCGAGTTAGCAAACGTAAACTATAATAACGTCACCTTTCCCCCTCGCCGTTGCTCCGGGCGCGACATGTATGCGGCTTCTTTTGAGCTATAATGCATCCTCGTATTATGCAACGCGCACTCTAATCTTTCGTCGGTTGTGACGTCTACCGAAACTTTAAAGCCCGTATTTATTAACCGTTACTCGCGAATCTCGTTTCGAATATCAGCCTGAAATACTCCAGGATGACGTTTCATATTTTGGACGTGCCGTAGTTTGATTAGAGGTAAAATGAGAGTGCTTGGATGAGAAGCGAAAACAATTATTCACGTGTGCGAAACCATTAAAGTGTTATACACATTGTTACGATTGTTGGAAGTTTGACACGTTTGCCTCGCAATTATTCGAGGTTATTGATTATTCGATTGGTACGTTATGCACGATTTTATTACGTCATGTTATACTTTGCTTTAATTAATATAACATCAATCTATATTCTATGTAGTAAATAAATTATAAAAACTTAAAATCAACGCCGTGTAAAGATAAGTACAATTAGTAATGATTGGCGCTTTTATTAATTCGTTAATTTAATATATCGTGTTCAAATTCAATTCAAAATCTTCTCCTAAGCCCGTTTTTCTCAGCACGAAATGAAAATTAATTAATTCATCACTTACCAATACGATGCGCAGCGGCGAAGTTTTGTGGACTTACGTTGAGACTACGTTGATCTGTAAAATACAGATATAAGATCCAAATTATAGAAACTCCCAAAGTGGCCAAAGTAATTAAGATTTCAAGAAATAGTTATTGTACGAAATTTCTGTATTCATTTCTCAACTAAATATTCAGCAAAATATAACAATAAATTTATTCATTTATACGGGCGCCACTTCTAAAATAAATAAAAATATATATAACAGTAAATTTAATTACCATTACTTCAATAGTATAAATAGGTTTAATAATTGCTGTTTCAGTAGAAAAGCATTAGAAGTGGCGCCCGTATAATGAATAAGTACCAAATCTGTACATATAATTTTCAAAATGTCTTCTGGAATATAACTTTTTATAAGATTTTTTGAATAAAAAAATTATTTTCTCTTTTTCAAGTATAAATTATTAAAAAATATAAGATATAAAATCATATGAATAAAAACATCTCTCTTATTCTTATCTAAATTATCCAAATAAACGAGCCAAATAAACGGGAAACGAGTCAACGATTAAAAGGAAAGATAGATAATATATAAATAATAAATTATACTTACGCCGCAGTTGCTCCGCCGTCGCCCGATGCCTCCCAGGCCTCCTTTCCTCGGTTGCAGTCACAACACTCGCGAAAATACTGTTAATTATGATTTATTAATTAATCGAATATAACAAAGACTACGACACTTCGCGCGAAACTTTTTACGGCACTCCCGAAGTTCAAAAGTCGAGACATGACGCTCACGGCACTTTGCCCATACTTCGAGCCGCACTCTCCAACACATCGAAAGCGTTCACCACGTACGAGCCACTTAACGACTTGTGGCAACGCGGTGTCCGCGCTCCTTTATCAGGATGTCAAATCCTCGAGGGTATCATGAGCCCCCAGCGAGATCGTAATATCTCAGTCGAAAAAAAAAGAAAAGGAAAGGAAAAACGAGGACCGAGCACGCGACAATTCTGGGCAACGAAATATTTAATTATAAAATCCATTAAAAATGTATCGTATTATAGAATTTATTACATTTGAGTGCCGAATATTTCGCTCAGTGTGCACAATTAAGTAAATTATTAATAAATGATCGATACCCACGGAAAGCGGCGAGTCCCCGTTAATTGAATCGCTCGAGTCGACTGTTCGCAAGCGCGATGCGAGATGAGAGATGAGATATGATCCGCAAGCGTCGTTAAAGGAGCAATTATTACCCGGAAATGCTCGACGGGACAGCGACTCGCGATCCTCCGCGATCCCCGTTCTTCATAACCTCGATTTCGATTTCAAATCCAACGCGTCGAATAAATCGCGCGATAATTGTTGTCCATAGGCTCGATCACGTGCGAGTCATTAGCCGCCGGAGTTAATTAATCGCTCAAAACGGAAATCGTGCGCGGCAGTAATCGTAACGATCACGTTTCGAGGGATAATAACGCAGTGACACGCACTACTTACTACCTGTCCGCTTCACTTCAGCGTCGCCGAATGACAACATGGCGGCGCGGCGGGGGGGGAGGCGTAACAACAAGCGCCAAGGCCACGTACCACAGTGGTCCCGAAACGTCTAACGTAAAAAAAACGTTGAAAAACAAACGTGCGTTCCGCGTGTATTTCAAGTTGATTTCGGCAAATATTAATCGCTATAATGTTATCGTCGCGCATTATTTTACGGACTCGTTAGCGTCATTCAAGATAACGATTTCCACTCGATGGGAATTTAATTTTGGAAGCTTATTTGTTATGTTAATTCAGCAAACATGTTGCAATTTATTTAATACATATGCATATTATATATACATATTAAGTTATTTAATGTGTAATAGTTAAAATTTACTATTGACATGTTTATATTATTTTTTCTTTTTTTCAATAATGGACGCTTGATTAAAATTGAATTTAAAAAAAAATTCCTAAATTAAAAACAGAAAATTTATCTTTGTTTTAATCAAAGCGATATTCATGTAAATTAATTCGTTATTACTCTTTTCCCAAATATTTACTAGTGAGTATAAAATTATGTAATTTTAATCAATCAAAAATTATGTGATTTATAAATATTGTTATTTTTTAATCGCAAATAAATCAGGATAATGTAAATATTGCTACAAAAAATAATAATTTAATTCGTAATTTAATTTCATATTTACTTCATCCTTCTATTGATTTATTAAAAAATTGGAGAAAAATAATAAAGACAAATTAATGTCCATAAATACTCTTCGATTAAAATTAAAATAAACTTCTCATTCGCTTCAAATGAATATTTGATTGAGATATTGATTGATGTACGTTTATAAAAAGTTAATTTTCAAATAATCGTGATTTGCTCACTGATCGATATGCATGCAATGCGAGAATATTATAGTCCAGCACTATTACTCTACACATAAAAATGAAAATAAAAACGAAAATAAAAATTTAAAAAAAGTAGTATTCTATAGTCTCTCGTTGCACCAAATTTGTTTTCTGAATTCAAATCAACTTGCGTCCATGTAGGTAATCGTGCAATTCTTTATCTGAATATTCATTGAAGTTATTTAAATGCAATTCTTTTCTCCAATCACATTTCTCTTCAGAATTAATTATTATAAACCACAAGAACCAAAAAGTTCAGGTTTTATTTTAAGACAAATTTTATTTAAATTTCTCACTTAAGTTTCTCGCAATTAGAAATGTTACATTATGAATATTAAATTCTTATAATAGATTTATTAAATTATATTATGTTTCAAGATCGACTTCAGCCGAGAGGATTTCAGCAGAGAAAGAATTATAAATACGCGCGGGTTGAATTTCTTTTTTATCCCCAGACTACACGCCTTAAAGTGCACAGCAAATGCGCATTAGCTTGCAAATTGCAATTTTCTCCGTAATGCTAACTAAATTACCAATACGCACAAAGCCGCGCATGTTCGTGCAGACTACGCACTTGGAGCCGAAACTTTCCACGGAAACTACTTTACTTTCATCGAGACGCGAAAAACTTGCAGAATGTGCAGCGAAAAACCCTTCAAGGGTCCAGTAAAATATCTCAACGCTTTATAGGGCTGTTTTATAGCGGATATTCGCGCCCCGATGCAAATTTTAACGTAAAATTCGATGCGATCGCGGCAAATCCGTCTCGCGACAACGGTTCGCCATTAATCACCTTGAAGTCTCGTTAATATTAATTTCAAAGAGAAATACAGTGACATATTATATGCATACCAGCGGGGCATGCACATGGTAATTCATAAACATGCAGGTAGCGGTCGACAAAGGCGCGCGGAACTGACGGTCGACTTTAGACCAATAAATCCGATCAAGCTGCGTAATACGATTGAATGCAACCGATACAGATCACAATGCAGGCAATTAGCCGATCAACCGATATCAATTAAAACCCACAGGATCAAACGAAAAAATCAATTGAAAAATCAATATCGCAAAGCACCTCGTAATATCGTAAACGACGTAAACCATGGCATTATCAACGATGGATTTTGCGGCAATAAAGCAATAACGTGATAGTGAAATTTTTCGTATCATTTTCCGCGCGTTGTAATGCATGACGATAAAATCTCACGATAATTGGAATTAAATTTCCCATATATATATCACAAATATAGCATTACGTTTTTAACAACGGGAACAAATTCGCTGACAAATTGACGTTTTCCGAAAAACTTTGTTCGATAATTTCTTTCTAGTTTGAAGAATGACATTAGCAATTTGGTAGTTTTCTCGGCGAAACTCTGAGCGGAGAACAACGTTGAATGTTTCAGGGGCAGCAGCCGCAAGCCGAGGACGAGAATACCCCGCAGAAGAGGGTCGACAAAATCTTCGACCAGATGGACAAGAACCACGACGACAAGCTCACGCTAGAGGAATTCCGGGAGGGTAGCAAGGCCGACCCGAGGATCGTCCAGGCGCTCTCGTTGGGCGGCGAGTAACCCCGATTTTCATCATAGGCGACGCGCGATCACTTCGAAATCGGGAGTCTCCACGTCGTCGTCGTCGTCGTTATCGTAATTGTCGACGTACGCGAGCTGGGCGAGCCGCTCGTCCTGATAATCGACCGACGAGGAAAAGACCTTGGGAGAGAAGGCAAGTCCACATCCGCGCGGTTTGGCATGCACGTATTTAATAGGTAGGCAATAATGTGTGAGAGCGCGCGAGAGGCGTCAGTTGGTGTTGAGATTTGCGAATATTTTTGGAGAGAGATCTCTCGTCGAAGAGCTAGTACTACTTACTTCTTTTCTACTCTCTCGCCCTATCTCTCTTTCTCTATATACTGTAACTCTCGGAGGAAGATCGGTTCTCGTTCCCCGTTGGTGAACCGATCCCTCCACCTTTGTTAACGATCCGATTTCGAAAATCTCGATGCTAATATAACTGTAGATATACCATAGCGTTTGAACAGTCGTAGCTTTCAAGGAGACTGGACGTGGGCGGATTACATTTTTAGGTAGAGAGCATGCAGAACTTCGATACGAATAAACTGTTAGAAACGATGTATGAACGATGAAGACGTTACAAATTACGGAGAGGAGAGAATTCCCGTTCACGCGGGGGCGTTCTCTCGAAAGCAATCTCTTTTGTCGCGTCGCTCCTCCTCCACGCTTCCGTTATTCCGCTGGCAAAGTAGCGTCACGGTAATACAGGTAACGAGTAAAATTCGAATATACTCGACGCGAGCACGCCGCTCGATTTTCAACGAGGCTCACCGGGGAGGTCATTTCCGATTTGTGCAGCGCGACTCCACATTAGAGAAAATGGGAAGAAGAACGGAAGAGAGAACGGTATAAGTAAAGGGATGGGTAGTGGGTAAATTGCCGCGGGGATAAGCATTCAAATGTGGACAACTGATCGTGCACTGTGCGGCGTTGCGTAGCGAATACGACCGCAAACAAAAATTCCAGAGAGTCACAATGAGCTAGTACGTATTTCAATAAAACGTCGAGCGAAAGAATCGAGAGAGATGGGCAAATTTTGCAATGATGAATAGCGCCGTAACAACGGTACTCGGACACTATTCTTCCTCGCCTCTCTTGTTTTCTTCATTTTACGCAACGCGCGCTCTACTGAATTAAGTACCTCGCCATTACGAATTCAATCATCGAACGTAAATATTAATACGGATTTTTATATAACAGCTACTTTATGTAACGCTGCCGCCTAGAAGTGTTGCAGATTATTCATTTCCAAATGTCAAAAAGCACCGGCGTCGAGTACTAACGAGCGTTGCGTGCCACTGATAAAATTGCAGTGTCGATTTGACGCCGGACACGGCGTCATTTGCGCGCGATTTCTTAACAAACGGCGGCAACCGTCTCGTAAGAGTATATATCGACTCGCGTTGCGTAACGCGGCGCATTACAACGGCATGGCAAAAATTCGGAGATACGGAGACGATGACTAAGCAAAAGGGAAAGATGAATAATGGTAATCTGCTTTCCGATATTAATGAGCGTTTTACGTCACTTACACGACGAAGTGGCCGGCCTTACAAATCGTCAGCTGCAGCACGCGTATTATCAATGGGAATCTTCGCCGGGTTATAGAATTGCACAGAAGCACGAGAGATGTATTCAAAGTAAATGTGAGAAATAATTATACGTTATTTACTCCTTAATTATAGTTGGAAAAGTTGTGTTATTATTGATTTTACGGCTCTCATAAGAGATCTCCGTCAGAAGCTATATATTCCAAACAGAATTATACAAGAAAATGGTATTAACAAAAATAATCTTATTAAATACGATTATCGCGTATCATAATATAGCAGTCGATCGTCAAACATTAATGAGCAAAGTTGCATCTGCCTCGTGGATCTCTCGTATTGTTATCCGTGCATCCATTTTTTAATCACAATCTTTTCAATCGCAGTCATTGACGTTCTTGACGCTCCACTTTCGAACTTCAACGACCTAAATCTTCATATTCAAGATGACTCGAGTGGAATAAAGCTAACGATCAATAAAGAAAAGGGTACCCGGCATTTGGAAGTATTTTTACCTAGAATAAAATTACGTGAAAAAGGGACGGAACAGACGGAGGGCAGAAAAAGCGTGGCAATCTACATATTTTGCATAATAGCGATTAATTAATCATTGTAACGTGCCTCCATCGAATATTAAACCGGAGTCGAAGGTAGGAAAAGCGGAAGGGAGAGAAATACCAGATTGAAATGAAGCGTCGAGAGTGATTAAGTTGAAGAAGGCAAAGGTCGTGGTCGGGACGATCTTTACACATCGCGGTAGAAGCGATTAAAACGAACGAGGGGATGATTCACATTGAAAATTCGACTTGATTGACGCAACTGATTTTCTGCAGTCGCACGATATGCGCAGAGGAGACAATAAAGCGAAGCGAGCAGCGAAATACGATAACGACTTGCTTAGTTAGTGAGGACGGCCGCGCGACGTGACATTATTGGTACACGGATTTATCGGAATTTCGGGATCTCCTATTCTCCGATATTAAGGAGAGCGTCAGATGGTCGTCCGATAAGAGCGGGGAAAATCCAATGCGACAGAGCGGGAGCGCCAAGGACGATTAAAGGGAACTAGGTGGGTAGAGGTAGATAGGTAGAGACGCACCACATCTCGCCGATCGATCCGTTATAACGTTCTGCATTCCGCGGGATACGGTCATACGAATGCGGCGGCTGAGCTTATGCGGAGGAACAAAAGGGAACGCTGGAAGTGCGAGAATCGTCAGGGACGAAGGGGAGGAAAGGACGACGAGAAAAGCAGGACGACAGTTCGCGGCCGACTATGTCGATGGGATCTCTTATAGGTGCGGGATCGCGCGGGGGATGGATTCCTCTCGACGTACAATGAGAAGACTCGGAGGTGCACGATCATAAATCTTGCCACGGTTCGTGACCCTGCACGGAGACCCTTTTTAAAGAATAAACCGACGTTTACACGGGAGCCGGCCAGTTGTCATTGCCGAGGAAATTGGGAAAATATCTCGAGAGGGCAAACGTCGCCCGTGCTCCGGCAGAGATAGCGGCAAGTTAAATAAGCTCCGAAAGGATCGCCCGACGACTTATGAAAAATGCATAGGCACTTGGTCCGGTGCCTCCATGCAATATGTAGCCCGTTGCCACCGAAACTGCATGACGACGCGTCTGGCTTACGCTCTAGCGCGTAAAAATGAAGTTTCCAGGCGAAGCCATCACGGGACAATGGTCCGTTAAGCCCCCCCATTTTCTCTTCAGTAACGCGGCCACCACTTGATTTTGTATATTACGCGGCGGCGAGAGCGAAGCAATTAAAATTATGAAAACGCAAAAATGAGAAATTAATTTACCCTGTCGGCAAAAAACGAACAAAATAAATAGAAATGCAATCGCGTTAATGAGCGAATTTTAAAATGGGTTTACGACGCGTGCCCCCGCAAGACTCCGCCTGCAGTGGAAAATTAAACATTTTAACGCAAGGATAAAAAGATAAAGTTTGCCGAGGTGAATGAAGAAAGGTCGCCCTTTGGAAGGCTGGAATTCACAGTGCCATTGAATTTTCAAAGCAGCGCCGTATCTCTTTCCATCGCTCCCGCTATCTATTCTCCGATTGGGTGGCTGTAAACCGAAAGGAGATACGAGTCCCAACCTACATAGGAATGACTCTGTGCGGGGAAAAATGTCGCGTAACCAGCAGCAAAAATTCACAAGCTGAAGCTCGGAATGCCTCTAGAGATGTAAATGCGACGCTGCGAAGCGCATGTTATTACTCTAAATAACGTGCGTAATATATTCGTGTATATTCGCGGGGCGACAAAATTTTCACGCACTGGAAATGGCGCTGGAACTAGAGCGCAAAAATAGACTCGGACATAATAAGCAAATATTAATTTCGCAAGAATGTACTCGCCGTTGCAAGTCCGCGAGAGATAAATCGCCGCTTAAAACCTCACCATTATCTCGCGTGATTTAAGAACCGTTATTCACTTCGCCTCCGTGGATATCAAACGTGTGCGGAACAATACAATGAAATTCCATGAATCTTTCCGACCTGTCGTTTTTTCGGGCACTACATTAACATTCGCCGCGGCACTACCCTCTCGTACATCTCGGTATGGCGTGCTCTCACCCCCTTTTTTTTCAGAGCGAACCTGGTACAGCTCAGTGCAATCTCTCGCACACGGAGAATTATAAATGGCTCGCCCAACATTCGTATTGCAGATAAACAGCACCTTGCCCCGCGCACAGCAACCCCTTTTCACCCGGCGGAAACGAAATAGCGAGCTGTATCGAAATTCTTCGCGAGACACGTTGCGATTCGTCTTTCGTTTGACACTTTTCAGAACGGCTGACGAATTTTTAGCCGCGCCGTAAAAGCCGAGCGCGTACGTCCGGAGTTTAAAATTACGGAATAACGAGAACCAGGCCGGGTCTATATTTCTGCAGTCTTTATCTTTTGTGTGTGTCGCGACACTCCGTGTCATCTCATTTATCCCCGTCGCGCCGCCAAATTCGCAACATCCGACGTCACAAGCATCTGCATCTCGTCTCTCGCCTTTTCTTAATTTTTCAACCGCGCGCGGAACTTGCCGTCGCGTCGTCGTCGGCTCGCCATAAATTCAAAGCGCGCGTGCCTGCACCCTCAACGTCTGCGTTGTATCCAACCCGGCGATTTTACCACCCTCCTTCCTCCGTTCTCGTTTAAGTTCTCACGTGGCAAGAATTTCAGTGACCGTGTGGATAAGTTTATTTCCGGATAAAACTTGAACGACGGCCAGGAGCCTCGACGGTTCTCCAGGCGGTCGATTCGCAAAACTCATTTTCTTCGCAACGTGCTTGACGACGACGTTGTTTCCGCTTCCTATTCCTCCGTTAATTTCGTTGCCCGGCAGATTTTCCCGCGAATAAAGATTTACAACCGGCTAAAATTTGTACTATACTTCATCCCTTCCTTTACTTTTCACACGTTTCCATTCGTAAAATTATCGGACATTTTTCGCTACCTTTACCACGAGCATATTTTTCTTTTCACGCTTGCCTTACTTCCACTCTTGTTCCACTCGTTTCCTTATCGAGGGATGCGCCACCGAACGCATACAACGAGCGGCAATGCGGTTAGCGGATTCGAGTTTCGCAGCGAAGTAAAATCGTGGCGATAACAACGGCGCAGCAGAGCGAATTCCGGGATAAATGTTTGCGTACTGCAATACATCAGCAGCCAAGAGCGACGATTAATTACACCCATGATAAACTCGAAAGCCATTACGCCCTCGGCAACTGTGCTCTCGCTCATAGTTTGCAACTGCTTTAAAGACATTTTAAGAATTTGCGTGTACGCGCGACGCTCATTATCCTTTCTGGCATCCTAACGATGCCTCAGGACTTTCATTTATACGATTTCAAAACGCCGTTTGGACAAACAATACCGCCGCAAAGCCGGATCGCGAAATTTGCATCCGGCGACGACGTGCGGTCGCCGCGACCTACTCATAAACAAATATTAACTATTCCTCTCAAACCGGCGAGTCAATCCCTCGAGCGAAACCGAGGTCGCAATCGGCGGCGAAAGGACCAAATACCCGAAATTCGCCGGTAGCGAGGCAACAACGCCCATATGCGCGCGCGCGCGCGCGCGCGACATCGTCACGGTGTGACGTTGGTGTAACTGGTATCAATCACTCGTTACGGATCGGTGCGCCCCATTATTTAGCTACGTCAAATATTTGCCGATACCCATGCGCTTGGACGCGGGAGAGGGGGAGAGTCAGAAAGACACACGCATGCTGCATGCCGGCCTCGGCGAAATGGCGCTGACGTTTTCTCTGCACGCGTGACCGGCATCGCAGAATGACTCCGATATTGGCAAACTTCCCGACGACAATTTTTTTCTCTCCCCTCGCTCTTCTTTTTTTTTTTTTTGGTCCCATCGGCATCTCTCTCCAGAGATCAAACTGGAGTAGCGCCATGCGACGATGGAGACGACATTGGCAAATAACGTTCTCCGAGGCACAGCATTAACATTATTACCTGCCATCCATTTCTCCGGAAGCACGAGCTCGCCGCATTCGATCGCGACTATTGGCCGCGATTCTCGTTTACATAATTCGCGGGTCAGGGATTATGATGCATCGTTTCAAGAGAGAGAGAGATATTTTATCATGTCGCGAGATACGGATTTAAAGCTCCTCGAAAACAACAGTTAACGTCGTCAATCACGGAGAAATGGGAAATTTTTAAACGAGAATTACGAACAAGCAATTCTTTAGCGATGCTTCGATTAATTCGCGACACAATAAAGATGAGTAAACAAAGTTTGGTAAAATGAACGAAATTCATCCGTCGCAATAACATCGACTTGTTGACTTCAAGCGTAATTGTGAAAAGCGATGGTGCTTCCGCGACGATATTACCGACGTTAAACTCGCGTCCGTCCCTTAGGATTTATTTGTCATGTTTGCGTCGATCAGGATTTAAGCAAGGACGTAAGCAGATAGTCGCCACGGAACTTCGAGCGCTCTGTAAGGTTCTTAAGTTGAAGTCCCCGACAAGTCGTCCTCCATTCCGTTCAATCATCCCCCGGTCGTTCTCGACTCTGTGAGTTTCGCACTCTCGCAGAAGTTAAACCGAAGTGAAGCTTCGAGGTTGTCTAAACCGGTGGTAATCGCGCGCGCGAGCTCAACCGCGTTGCGTCGGATCGATCCAGAGAATATTTCGTTGCAGCTCCCCTCTCGAAATAACGCTTACGTCTCGGTGGACCGGATACACGGATGGGAATACCGTATTGGGGGTAAAGGGTATTCAGACCCGCTCCCGATATCCGTTCAATTGAGAGAATTGCTCCGCTAACTTTCGCGACGTTACGAACTTTACAGCGGTGTCAGAGTTTCGCTCCAAATCGTGCCGCGGCATCAAGGAACTCGCGAAGTGCCTGCGGCTGTCAAACTTCAACATTCGAACTGCATGTAAACAAATAAATTTCCACGGAGTGCCACATGCAATCTTAATGTCTCGATATCCATCGCTATTTTTCACATTTACGTTTTTTCTGGATCGTCACCTGTCTACGCGACAGACACGCGTACCGCAAATCGATGAAATAACGTTCCTGTTTCTGCCACTCTCCGCCAACACACATCTGTCTCTAGCTCTCTCTCCGTGTCTCTCTGCAAAACGACTAGAAACAATATTTATAAACTCAAGGAGATAGTTTGTGCAAAAGCAATAATAGTCGCTTAAAAAACATTTCGAGCGATAGCGCACGGAGAGAGACGGAAAGTGTTATTCGTGCACAACAAACCACCTCGTCCGCTGACGAGACATAAAGTCGCACAAATGTTGGCGAAACGCCACGTTTTGGTGAAACACGCAATAAGGCGAATCGCTGCCGGGAGAAGCTTTAACGTTTAACTCGAAAGTTGTAACTCGCGGAGCCGCTCTAATTGTCACGCATGGCCCGGCATTTAATCAACCTTAAACAACAAACAACAACGAGGACTTATCCGCAATGTTGGCGCACGCGAATCGCTTCGAGAGCGCGGCGAGTTCCCCTAATACGAATATAAATATTGGCAAAGATCAACACGTGTCGTGCACGCGGGCTGCTCATTAGAACTGCGGAGCTCGCGCAGTCCCGTTTAAATAACGACTATTTCACGACGCGTATATTACACCGGCGAGCAAATTTACCCTACATCCCAGAGTCACGTCGCGAAGATTTATTCGAGAACCTGTCATCGAAAACGTGAAAAAACTCGCTATCATTTCTCGTTTCTTGCACCTCGCTGCTACAAGATGTCGACAATCATTATACAGCCATCAAGAACTCGATCTCTTTTTCATCGCGATTTATCATGCAACATTCAAATTAATGCAAATGTTGTATACTGTAAGTGCGAATAATTGATTCCTCGCTGTAACGTGAAATAAATCAAAATAATAGATAACAATTATAAACGAATTCTTCTTGCGTGAAAATTCTAACAGAATATCATATCCATATATTCTAAAATAATAAACATTCTACTGCGCGCGCGACTTGGATTACAACAGCAAGAAACAATTCGCCTGGGAAGTATGTTCTTCATCGTTCGTACGCGTAGAAATTGTACTTGAGAAATATATTACTGTTACCATCATTGTAGCGCCATAAAAAAAAAATAGTGTCTAGAGAAATATCTTGCGGTTTAAAAGATATTCAACGTTGTCACGGTCGCTTGGATTTACTTGTGCATTTTCAGTCTCTTATACTTTGAAAGTTACTTCGCACGGGGAATTTCCGGACGAATCGTCAGCTCGTTATTTTTATACTTCTATGTTATACGCTAGGGTAAGACTTTAAAAGCTCGACTTCACATTACTATCACTACGTAAGATTTACATTTTTGCTGGTAACACTCTACTCCACGTATAAGACTTTACGATATTCTCGATTACATATATATTGCGTAATACGTGCTCACCTCGCGGAACTGTGGACGTTGCCCGGTCGGTCGTGAAACACCTTTTTGTATAGCATGCCTCGAACATGATCCTAGTTCTGACAAGCCGGAATGAGAAACTTTTCGACTTTACGCGACGAGAGGGGCGTATTTTCCCTACCGAGGAAAAATAAGTGCAAACGCGAACGCCGCTGATAGCCGGTTCCGCTCACTCCGGCCTGTCCGAAAGAAATGAATGCAACCGCGTTTATTGCAAAGTCTGCTCCGTAAACGCGGCCTGGATATCACTTGAACCTTAGCAATAATCGTGGAACACTTTGTTACATCGTGGCGGAGGTTTTTAATCGCCGTCGAGCGTTAAGAGCTGGTTGCACCAACATCAATTAACGTAAACCTTAAACGTTTCCTTGCGCGCGAAATCTACCGCGAGAGCTCCGCCATGTACTTCGGAAACGCGTACCCTGGATAAAGTTGAAGAATTTTATATTTTTGGCACCGAGTACTTTGGTAACTGTGTCGCGAATTAAGATCTACTTAAGATAAAGCGCGCTCGAGATTAGTTGGAAAATAAATGCTCCGTTATCTTATTTGCACTTGTAAAACTTTACTTTGTCATAACTTTGATTTCATCAGCGTTAATCAAATCCAATCTCCAAATTTATCAAAGGACTCCCATAAGTAGGGATTATAATCTGGCTGAAGATAATGAATCACTGACCTGGAGTTAGTTAAATCAGATTGTCGGTGCAACTCAGTCCAAGTTGCGGACGGCGCGCATACCTAACTCGAGCAGGCTTGGTGACGTGCGAGGGGGATGAATCACTACGGCGACGTATGAGACGGTCGAAGAATGCCAACGATGATCTCCCGCGACGGCCACTTCAGCAAAGAGAGCCTCCTTTCCGCAGTTTTTCATTCTTGTCGAGTTATCGCGGTGATCAAAAATTCTATTTTTCTAACACACGTCCGATTTTGCTTCGACGCAATTCGCAGCGTCATTGCGTCAAAAAATGCAAGACCGCGGGGGGAGCATCGTTGTCGTCGGCCTCGAGCCGGGGGCGAAAGCGATTTTTCGCGATTTTTATCGCCGGTGTGTCGCGCATCGATCTCTTGGCGGCAACATGTCAGGTGGGAGAAGATTGCGTCAGCAGAGGTAATCATGCGCCACAATAAAGAACGACAGAGAAAGAGAAAAAAAGAGAGGGAGAGAGATTTTAAAAACGTTTAATGAGAAAAAAAAATAATCCATCAGCTTTAACAAGCTTAGCTTTTCCAATATCTGCGGGCACCCCCGTGACCTCTGATTATTTTCTTATAAACGCCGGCTTTAAAACTGTTTCTCTACTCTGGCGCAAATAAGTTAACTCTGCCGATGGGACTCTTGCCCACGACTAACGCGGAGAACCGAAAAATGCGAGGGAAACGGGAAGACGAACGCGCGAGTGTGTATCGGATTAAGTTTTATCGTTGTTAAGGAATTATTAAGTAACAAAAAAAATCGTCTTAAGCAATTTTTACAATTTTCAACGGGAAGCATAAGTGTAAGAGTCGAATCTCGCTTAGTGAAATTTCTAGATGCTTTTCGTGTCAACTGAATTCTCGTAGTGAACGCTTTGTGCGAGCTGAAAGTCTCTCGTAATTCGTGAAGAGGTAGATGAGACTGATACAGGAGGCCGGAGGAGATAAAAGGCGCGCGACGAAAAGTGCCGGGGAAGGAACACGAAAGGAAATCAAAAAGCTCCAACGTGCCTGCTCCAGGCGATGTTGTCCCATTTTCTCTGCATTTATCTCGGCGCGGCGCGTCTTTTCGCGAGTGGCCATTCAGCGAGACGTCATTAACGTTGATAATTAGCGATTAACAGGCACAAGCGTGATCAGAATGATGGAAGTGAGAAAACACCGAGAGTGCGAAAAGTAATCGGCGGCGAAGCCCCGGAGGTCATTACGTAACTATCGGCCGGGGATAATTATTCCATTTGTATTCGTTAAGCGGGCTTGCACATTTATTCGAGCGAGATCAGCGCGATATAGAATATCTGTTGCATATCGTTGCGCAGTTTATTCTTTACGATTTAACATAATTTTAACCGCTGGGTCGACTCAATTCCATTTCGATAGCGCTAATGGCTGTGAAATAAGCGTTTTCAATGCAACTATAATCCAGCAAAACAAGTCTCAACGTCGCATTCGTACCTGTGACCGTTTATCGCCGTGTGTATAATGCAACGCGGCAATCGGTTTGAATCCCTTGAAGCGCATTACGATAATTAATTTAAAGCCGCTATACGGTATCGGATTTAATTTCGCCATATTACTGCGCGAACGAGAAATTAGTCATTTCACAGATGGAAGCTTTCCCGTGGACATCTGCACCGCAATCGAGCACGGTATATCCGCCTCCAATTTGCGACAAAGGGCTTTGAGACACGGGTCACAGACACGTCACTGAGGCACAAAGACGCGCTTTCGAGGATAAAGCTGTCGGACGATTGTATCCGCGAGCTGCCGTCCACGCCGGAATTGCGTTTCCCATCACGGCATTCACGGCGGCCGTCACGCGGTCACCGAGATTTGGAATTTTTATCGCGATCTCGCGAACGCGCTCGCGAATCTCACCCGTGGGCCGTGTTTCTCAATGCTCGCGGAAACAAATGGAATGTTTATGGTGATTAGATCCGATCGATTCGAACGCGTATACGGCTAGATTTCGATAAGAATTTTCAACATATACATTCTGTATCTCTGGTCTTCTCGCGTTCGCTTTGATATTCTTATTAATAGCTAGAGATAAATCTCCGTTGCAGCTCTACGTGCCTCGAGAAGGATTGCGAGGCTTAACCTTCTGTAACCTATTTTCCGATTGTTATTGAGCCGCTCTGACTATATTACTCCTCCGGGAAGCGTTGCAGGTTATTTCACAAAGATACACGAAACGGTATATCTACCGCGGTAGCGTGAAAATAGATATTAGGACGTTATTTCACTGTGAGTTATAGAAGATTGACGTAACAAGAGCGATCTATGCGATTATGTAAAATGTCCAAACCAAAACTGTTACCGTTCCTCTCATTTAACGAATTCTTTAACCATTCTTGAGTCAATTTTTTTCTTAATGAGAATATTCTTAGAGAATTTTCTTAACGAAAACCTTTATTGAGAAAATGCTTAATTACGGTTTAAAATGACCTTTTAAATTAATATCCACTGGTGCTAGTCTCATTGACGAAATTCCATTCTTAATTCTACGATAAATTTTAATACAAGGTGTTTAATATTGAACATTAAATAATTTTAAATAAAGATAATATCAGCTATATATTTTTCTTAAGGATTATACAACGGTGGAAGAAGTCGTAGATGGAAAAAGTAATGGTTTTGGAACAGTCTCAGTGTACTAATCCTAAGTTTTACTTATGCGGATTTTAAGTTATAAGCATCCCCGCGTTAAATATACCACTTGGACTGTATTGCGAAATTGCAAAGTGTAAATACGATCGGTCAATACCGTGAATTATTCATATGTTTCCTTCGATAGTCACTTCCGAGGACAAGCGCTCTGGGAGGCGAAAAACCCAACAAAATTGCAATGGAATTGAACAGAGATACGTATTGGGATAAGCGTGAGTTTTTTTTTTTTTTACCGACATTTCTCTCCACAATTACCTTCTCTCACTCACTATTTTTCTCTTACTCTTTCTCTATTTCTCTCACTTGTTTTACGCATCGGCGACCTCGGCGACCTCGAAAAGAGCGGCTTTTTCGATAATAACGTTAACATAAAAAGGAAAAGTATATTCTCTATACTATAGTAAGATATTACTATTCTTAAGCGCTGCGATGCACGAAGGCTATTCTAATGTGTACCGTTATACTTATCGCTACTTGTACCGCTACTATTACCGCTAGTATGTACTCTAACGCTAACTACTGTTACTATATTTGCAGCAACGTGCGAAACTTTTCCGTCTAAATGCATAATACACATTCTCGAGAGACACGCCCATAAACACATACGTATACTGTCCACACGTACACACACGCATACACTGAACATTGCATCCGTTCCGTGCACACGGAAGGAGGAACACGACACGTACACTTAATAAACGTCAACATCATTGTTTTACAAACTTTCTGTGATAATTATTAACAATCACTAAATACGAAGAGAAATACTAAGTACAGAGCGACGAAAATGGAGAAGAAGCGAGATGACGGAAAGTCTAACGAGGGGGAAAGGGGAAAGGCTCGTTTGAACGATAGGCGGGAAGAAGCATGGTGCTCTGATTGAACGAAAGGCGTCTTGTTAGATGATATAAAATTATTGTTCCGTAGTTTGTTGTACGATCGACGATCCGTTGAAATGCTTGTACTTGCTCTGATCCTGCGACAGACAAAAGGAAAAAGAAGAAAAAGCGCGAGAAGAAGAAAGAACAGAAGCAGAGAGAGAGAGCGAATGCAACAAATAACGCGACCTCGAGACGTTGCTCGGTTACCACAAAAATCTAAGCGCATTGTTATTTTGTATGGTCCCATGCGTTTTTTCTAAATGACGACATCGTGACATGCGATATGATGGCGATTAATAAAAATAACTTCAAGCACACATAGCTGTTTCTTTTTTTCGTATTTTTTCGACGCCTGTTCTTCTTGTAAAACCGTTCCAGTTGCCATCCCTTTCTGTAGCGTTATATGATCCTTAAACATGCAGTCTTTGGGCATCCTGTTGATAAAAGTAAAACCTTCCTCACATTATTAAACCTTTAAAATTTATGCGTAGAATATAAGCGCCCTATCTCTAATTAGTATATTTATTTCTAACTCTTTTGTACATTCAGCTCTTAACTTATTCGCACAAAAAGTATTAATTTAGATTTTCTTTAGATCTTAGAATAAACTTTTTCATTTACGTAAACATTAAATTCAAAGGATATTATTTTTAAGAAAACCATAATAAATAAATTTCAAACGTCTAAATAATCAAGAAATGCATTTCGCATGCAATATTGATGCTCTACTCAATACAAAGCGAGTGTGAATATGTCTCTTTAAAAATATTTTCCTTAATCGATTATTTATGTTCGATAAGCAGAAAAACCCTTCGCTTGAACGAGACATCGGATTATCGGGTTTCTCGCAAAAAAAAAATCGAATGACGCGACTATCGCGTGTAACGAAAAAATAAAAATAAAAAAAAATAATGAAACCATTGACTGCGGATGACAGTATCCCGGTGAATGCGCTTTTACACTATCGTGTTCGCGATTCGACCCGGCTTACCGCTTGAGCCGTCGCAAGTGCCAGATGCAACTCGTGCAGCTCGTCCGCGCGCCGAATGTCCTCATTCAGTGCCCGGATCCTGAATCGAATCTCCTGAATAGCCATCTCAGCGATTTTCACTTTCAGCCGCTTCTCCTCGGTCTGCAACATAATCGTACGCTGTAGTCGCGGAATCCCTCGCCCGCGGAATCGCATCGGGGAATCGCATACTTCCAGCCGATGCAGCGTCAACCGGTAATTCAGTTCATCTAGGAGTTCCGATTGGACTGGACCAGCCCCATCCCGATCCCGTAATCGCGCATCTGGAACATACGTTCTAGTGGCGTCATTCGCAGTCCTATCGGAATCATCTCGTTGACTCCGTGACGCCGCATTCTCGCCAGTTTTCGATTCTTCGCGTCTTCCTTTGTGGCACGTCGAGTCCCGAACCGCGTCCCGGATACCAGCGGCAGCGGAATCCTCTTTCGCAAAGTCTTCTTTGGTCGTTACAGGGATCTTTTTCGCTGATACCGGGCATGAAACTTTGCCGCGGGACGTGAACTTCGATGGCAAAACGGTAGATTCCTCCTTCGCTGGCGCCAATTTCCGGCGTGCTTCAATTGCATTCCTTCGGTTACTAATTACTTCACCGTGATTATCAGTCTGTCGGGGCTGCAGCAAGAAGCAGCGTCCTTTTGCCGTGCCTGCAGCGGTCGAGAAAATGGACTGATCGTCGTCCTTGCGTTTCTTGCTCGACGATGCAGCTGGTGGTTAAACGGGGGAGATGAAATTTTTTGTCGCCAACGACACGCCAACGATTTGTCTGCAATTTCGACTTTCTTTCTTGCGATCTTTTTATTCGGAATATCGCGAAGACGTATTTATTGAAGCAAGAAATAACGTTGATATCTTTCTTCCCGATAAAATACCATTTTGAATTTCATCGCATAAATTTGATTAAATAAAGAATCTCGCATATGTCATTAACGATCAATAGTAAAAATAAAACTGGATTGCAAAATATAGCGGTGCAGCAACTATTGCTCATTATCATATTGACTTAATGCACAATGTACGGCCGGTCGAAAAAATTGACGTTCAAAAATAAAATTAAATCCTTTCACCTGAAACGACGGAAACGTCGCTTTGAAAAGAGAATCTATCTAGCGACGAGTCGCCCTCGCGTTTTCTTTTCGGATGATTCCTGCTGAAAGGCTCGGGAGTTCTTTCAGGGCAAATCACCGACACAGTCACGCTATTGTCCGAGACGTCAGTGTTAGATACTATCACATCAGTGCCTATTGGTTTCTCTGGTTCACAGTCTATCACACCCGATGACCTTGGTTCTTCGCAAACCTTGCTCGAGAATCTCTTACTCTGCGAAATTTCCGAGCCGGATCGATTTTTTCCAAATGAATCTAAATCTAAAAGTTATAAGCCGTTAGATGGTCTGTTCTTCTTTTCGACATCCACAGCTTTTTCTATTTTTCTTATATAATGTATTTTCTCAAATTTTATTTTTTCGAAAAATATACAATTCAATGAGAACGATTGTAAATTTCAAATTTCCTAACGACATCGTTTTGCATATGATGTAGATCGAACAAATAAAAATGTCATATATATGTATCGATCGGATAAAGTCGTAAAACGACGGACGACTGCTGGAGAGGTACCCCTTTAATAGCGCGGTTGGTAGCCACGAGGGTCTGAAAGGTCCCCGTGGAGAAAGTCATGACACTCTTTTGATACACTTACGATAAACGAGTAGAATAATAAAAAGAATAAAGAACTCGGCCGCATTATTGAGTCTCGATAAAAGCCGACCGCGGTCTCGAAACGATTGAGCGAATCTAAAGGGGAAGCTTATTGACTCACGAGTACCTGACAAGTTTAAAGAAGCACGAAATATTCTTTAGAACGACGATAAGCGTGGCGGAGCCGTAATAAGGATAAGGAACGTAATAAAACTTAAGGCTTCTTAAAAACGGCCGAGTATTACCGTGGAAGTGGCTTATCGTCACGAGACACACGCTAAGAAATTGAAAAGTTTAGATATTTTTTCGGAATGTCTTCCATAAAAAAAAAACGATGACATTAATGTTAGAGCAGAGTAAAAATCATCATCCCTTTTATGACACATGAACTGTCCATGTAATATGATTTAGTGCTGATAAAAAAAATACTTCCGACGTTCGCGGTTATAATATCACTTTACTTATCATAATTCAGACAATGCATTTTCCGATAGCACCGTGTTAGACCGCCCTAATATGCGAAAGTGAATAATTACAGGACGGAAGAGATCATTAGACAGATTAGATGCGTTATTGTCGCGAGGGACCTTTAAAAACGGAGACATTCTCTTAAAGGGGCACAAGATAAGCGAGGAACGTACCGATCGGCGTGGCACTTAATTTCCGGAAGAACGTTTTATTATCCCCATATATCTCACACTGACGACATCCTGGCTCGTCGATGTTCCGTAGCGATGCGTCGAGGCGAGGGGGAACGCAAGGAGCGGTTAGTTCTTTGGCGGTCTTCGTTATTTCGAGATTACCACGCTTTTCGAGAGCTTCCGGATGCGACGCTTCCTCCATCGCGTCTTTCGAAATCGCGCTCGAGTGCTTCTTTACGCCCTGTACAATTTTGCACGAATCGATTTACGAGGAAACGGTGAACTTGTGGTAAGATAACAGCATGATAGAAAACATGAGGAGGAAGATGTAAATGAAGCTTCGAATAACTTTTGGCAAACGTTCAAACATTCTGGCATGAGCATGCCAGCTTGTAACCGTGATTTCAGTACAATATCGCTTTTAAATAAAAATAATTTAAGCGGAAACGATCATCGGACGAAAGTTATCATTCTTTCGCGACATTTAAAGGACCGTTCGATAATATGTCGTACGTCTAACTTATTATCTCACAAATTTATTCTCATCCGTTTCCGGGCGCTTGAGAAATGAGAAATTGAGAGATCTCGAGAGAAAGGGAAAGAGCTCCGATAAGCGAGACAGCCAGACAGCCGAAGACGAGTCCGGAGCCCGAGGGGCCAAGAGGGGAAAAAAAGAAGAGCGTCGTTTAGCGGGCAAATTTCAGGTCGCCCATCGATGCTAATTTCATGGACGAGCGAGAAATCTCCGTGACGGACATATACGGATGTGCCACGCGCGATTTACCGCCTGGGCTCTCCTGCCGTGGTACTTGTAGTTCTGCCAGTACTTCTTCAGCTGCGCCGACGTCTTGCCGATGAAGCCCGCCTGATAGAAGTCCCGCTCGATCGCGCGCCAGATCTCCCGGCGATCAAACACCGACGCGTTCTTGTCGTCCAGCAGTGGCGCGTACTGGCTCATTACGTTCAACAGATGCAGACGTTCGTCCTTGCTGAACTGTTTCCTCCTACGACCGTTGTCCTCTTCCTCCCTCTCCTCCTCCGACAAACGGCACGGCCGCATTCTTGCGAAATCCGCGATCGGCGATACCCCGTCTTTGCCCGGCTGAACTTTCGCACGAATTTTTGCGAACCTCTTCGCGACGCTTCTTCCGCGATCCCCGGAGGACTCGCGACTCTCGCGAGTCGCGGTCGCGCAGTCGTCGACCCTAATCTCGGCTTTTGTTTCGACATGCAAAACATGCTATCTGCGATGCGCAGATTTTTTTTCCCCATTGCGACGTGCTCGTATCGGCCGTGTATATGGATGACCGTTTGAAACGCCGCTTGACCCCGCGACGATGGATGGAAGAAGGGAGAGAGCCCCGGCGGCGTTTTATCGATGGTCATATGCATCTCCTTCCTTGCGCAATCCCTTCTCGGGATCGTATTTTTACGTTGCGCTCAAATGAAATAATAAGTAGCAACAATTGTAATGATCGTGCCCGCGGGTATTATATAGGCAGGCTATTCATCTCTTCCTCACTTCTTCGTGCTGTACTTATATCCGTATACCTCCGATATTACAGGAGCGTATCGCTGCTATTGTAATTGTATGCCCACAGGACACTAACTTTCTATCGTCCGAACGCGTCTCCAAACGTGATGACTACATCGACGTATCGTTATTTGCGTAATGTTTGCCGTCCTCGGCTTCCTGAAGAGATCTCCCCGTCGCTGCTACGGGCAAGTAGGAGTTAACGCAATTTACGACAGTTCGGGAAGCAGTTTCGAAAAAAGAGGAGAGAAAAAAAACAGAAAAAGGTTCAGTCAGCTTTGTTTGCACGGGAGAGAAACGGGCATGTAAAACAAATGCAATGAGCGTTCTTTGTCCGTCATTTAAAACGAGAACGATAATTTCTGAGACAATCCTGGGGGGATGTGACGAATCGATCGTCGACATTTCTCGCGGA